ACCCGAGCCGGGGAGCCCGTGGGGCCTTGGGTACGGAGCGGGCGGGCGGGTGAGCGGGCGCCTGGGGTCCCCCGGCGGCGGAGAGAGGCGCGGGGGATGGGGGACAGCCAACTCACAACTCGCGCGGCGGCGGCTGGGAACTTTGTGCCACCCCTGACCAGCCTCAGAGAGGGGGCCTGGGCCCAGGGCAGGGGACAAAAAGTTCCTACGGGTGCGTTCTCGCGAGGAGGCTTGTCCTGAGTCGGCTGAAGTTCTGGATCAGTGTGGGACAGTGATAGAGAAGGTGGAGGGTGGATTGAGATTCCGCTGGGAGGGGTAAGGGTGGCGTGTTGGTGGGCTACCGTGAGTGCTTCTGGGGCCCACCCCGGCCAGAGGACGGGAGGCCCGCAGAGAGCGTGGGTCCAGCCTCGGCCGGGGGTCAGCTGGAAGGAGGAGGCTCCTGCTGCTGTCCCCCCGGCCCAGGTTCTGTGATACACTCCGACTCGGGCTCTGGAGCAGTCAGTGCATGACAGAACTTGGGCCCGAGGGACCTTCTGCACCCGACAGGCACAGTGCCCACCCGGGGCCTGCAGCGGAACATCTGGCTGGAAGTAGAGAGGGCACCAGAGTTGGCCTGTATGGCAGAGGGGGTTGGGCCTGGCCCGTTGTGGACCTTTGGAGCTGGAGTTGCTGAAGCTTGAGGGTGTATCCCTGGGGCCAACAGATCCCAGAGAGGCATGACAGGGTGTCCACCTTGAGAGCTGTTGCTTCAGGAGCCAAAGGCGCTCCCCTCCCCTGTGTCAGTTGCAGGAACCTTCCCTCTACACCATCAAGGCCGTTTTCATCCTGGATAATGATGGGCGCCGGCTGCTGGCCAAGGTAACCCCCAACCCTAATCCACATGGTGGACACTAGAGGGGCCTGAAGATACACGATGGTGCAGCCCCAGGAGCGGAGGTCCCCACCCAGCTGACTCTCCTGTCTCAGGAGAGACTCCACTGTGGTCTATAACTTTGGGCAGCTCAGCTTAGATCCCTCCAGAGGTCATCCTGGCCATCCCGCTGCCTTGTCAGGCTACTGACCCTGAAGTGAGACAGAGGGTCTCCTCTGTTTCTACTCATGTTCCTGAAATGTCTGTCATCCCTCCCATTGGCCAGCTGGACCCTGGACATGGGAGGGGACCCCCTAAGGAGTCAGTGGAGTATCAAGTCTGGGACCCAGAAGTCACGGTCCCCAAATTCTAAGCAAGCCACCTCCACTTTTCTCCTAACAGCTTGGTAAACACCGTTGCAGGAGTCTAAGAATTTGGAGCTAGATTTTAGAGACCATATAATCCAACTCTCTAACTTCACAAATGAAGAAAATGAGGTCTAGAGAAGCTAAATGAGTTGCCTGAGGTCACAAACTGTTAATATCAGGAAATTTGAACTCAGTTTTTTTGACATGAAGCTCAGACTGGTTTTCAGTACACCCCCATTCAATTATCTGATATCCATCCTAGTGAACATGGCCTGAGTTAACCAAACTAGGATAATCCAAAAATAAATTTCCATACTTGACAAAATTAACTGTATCAGCAGGGCTATAGCATCTAAACGAGCTATGAAATGTATTATAGATTGTTGTCCTTTTGTCTGTTTGGGGCTGAAGATGTCTTCCAAATTCTTTTTTGTTCTCATGACATTCTAAAGAGCTTATTCCCCTGCAGCGGGGACCAGCCGGGAGCTTGCTAATTTGCCTACAGATCGGGTACTAAGAGGCACAAAATTGAGAGGTGATCATACCTTGCCCCAGCAGATGGTCTGAGGTGGATCAGGGTTGGGGCCTCCTTCCCGCAGGGCTCATCCATGTTACAACTTAAGAGAGGCTCATAAACTCAAATGAAAAAAGAGTGACTTATTTCTCCAATATATGCCGGGAACTTTTCCCTAGCTATTTCGTATTCACCATAATCCTGTCTGGAGTCAGACTATCCTTAGTGTTGAATCCCAGCTCTGCCTTACAGGCTGTGAGATGTTAGGGAAGCTACCTGACTTCTTCATACCCTAGTTTCCCCATCTAATGGGGTGATAAGTGTTCTGTAATTGGTAGCTGTTAATGGCGCTGCCGTTTTTCCTGTAGGCTCAGGTCAATGTAGAAACAAGAGTGGCTAGTGACCGCCCTGATCCTGAGCACACTGCACATCTGCTGAGTGTACAAGAGCCCCCAAGAAACCAAGAGGGAACTCTAAAATCAGACCTCAAAACTCCCCTACTTTTTATGACATTTTTTGCTTAGAATTTGTGTTTATGGGGGAGTAACTCATCAGCCGCTTCACAGGAGAAAGATGTGGCAGTCTGTTTCCATAAAGATTACAGTCTTGGAAACCCTACAGGGCAGTTCTACCCTGTCATATAGGGTCGCTATGAATCAGAATTAACTGGATGGCAATGGGTTTGGCTTGGTTTAGTGAGCAGGCAGGCCTAGAGGGCAATAAAGGGGAGATGGCCCATCGAGGCAGGGTCAGCCTTGGCGAGCACCCACCATCTCCTGCCACACAGCCAGGGAGGAGCCAGGCTCTGTGGAACAGCTATCACCCCTTCTCCTTCCCCTTCTCATAGTATTATGATGACACATTCCCCTCCACGAAGGAGCAGATGGTCTTTGAGAAAAATGTCTTCAACAAGACCAGCCGGACTGACAGTAAGTGTCCGCCTTTTCCTCCACCAGAACTCTCAGTTGCACACTGTCATCTTCTCCATCTGGACACATCTGTCCCTGTCGGCCTTATACACCCACAGGCTGTTCTTTTCTTCAGAGGCTCTCTTTCCTCTCCTTCCCAGCTGTTCTTCATTCTCTTCCTACAGGGACCTTCACTCCCTATTGCTCTCCATTCCGCCCCTCTCCAGACGTACCCCCCTACCACTCCTAGACCTCTCAGGAAAACAGGGCAACTGTGTTGTAACCCCGCCACCCCCACCGAGCCTAGATTTCACCAAAGGGAACTGTACATGGTGGGGTTTGGGCAGGAGGTTGATCCTGAACTGGGTTTGTTGGCTCCTCGAAATGAGGCAGTCCCTAGAAATGGAGTAGATGGTGGGGACAGGTCATAGGGCAGCCTTATGGTTGTGTCCCTACTGCTGCTTTTTCCAAGGGTTCCTTGGAAAAGGAAGAAGGAAATAGAGGGAGAGGCACAAAGCTGGAGATGGGGAAGAGAGGCCAGGCTGGGGCCAGCAGAGGTGCCCAGGACTGAAAGCCCCTTCTGCTTCTAGGCGAGATTGCATTTTTTGGGGGCATGACCATCGTCTACAAGAGCAGCATCGACCTCTTCCTGTATGTGGTGGGCTCATCCCACGAGAATGAGGTAAATTCAGGAGGCCGGGGTGGCAGGGAGGGTCTGTCAGGAGGAAATGCCTTGGAGTCTGGGGTAGAGACTAGATTCTGGAGGGGTCACCATTGGTACCTCTCCTTCCAGGCTCCTGTAGTGGAGAGATGCACACAGAATGGTTCTGTCTGGGACAGTGTGTATCCATGATGCCTCTTAGCTTCCCTGAGAACCAGAAATAAAGTCAACACTCTCTGTGCAGGGAGCTTGTTTCTTTCTTAAACATAAGGATACATTCAGTGTCCCTTAGTGAAACACTCCCATATTTCCCAACCCAGACAAGGGAAGTCCCCTCTAAGGTAACACTGCAGTCAGTCTCCTGCTACGGCTCCAGCCCAGACCTCTTGGAAGAGCGAGAACTGCCCAGGCAAGTGCTGAGTTCTCCCCTGGGCCTTCTCAACCTCAAGCGGTCTTGTTTTCTTCCCCCATCCCCAGCTGATGCTCATGGCTGTTCTCACCTGCCTGTTTGAGTCTCTGAACCACATGTTAAGGTGAGTAAGGCTCTCTGCCCTCTAAGACTCCCAGCCCCACAGGCCTTGATACATCACAGAGACAAGGCCCTTCCTCCCTGCTTTTCTCCCGAAGTCCCTGCAAGACTGAGACTGGAACCTGAGCAGCCTCCCCCAAGCCCCCTGACCACCTAGGGGTCACCCAGAGCAGAGTTAGGCAGAGGGTATGTCCAGGTGGACTCTGGGTCCATGGCAGATGAGGTGTCAATGCCCAAAGTGTGGGAAGTCTGGGAAGGTGGGGCTCAAAAAAGCAGACCTGCCCTGTGCTCAGGAACCCCTTGCCCAACCCCTGCCCTCACTGCCTTTTACATGCCTCCTCCCAGTCCTTTTTTGGGGGCGGGGCGGGGGCTGGATGGAGAATGAGGCAGTGTTTAGAGAGGAAGTGTCTGCCTCACCTAGGCAGGGTTCCTGTTCCTCCTGGCCATTGGGAGGCTCAAGAGTTTATGTCTGCCTTCAGGAAGAATGTGGAGAAGCGCTGGCTGCTGGAGAACATGGACGGAGCCTTCTTAGTGCTGGACGAAATTGTGGATGGCGGGTGAGGAGGGGAATGGAGAGAAGAGGGAGTGGTCAGGGACACTCAAAGCAAGAAGGTACTTTGAAGGCTCATCAGGTCTAGATTACACCATGTACATTGTTGGCTCTCTGGCCAACTTCTCCCTCCCTTCCACCAGCATACTTCCAGTTAACCCATTCCACTCTTTATCCTTACCCCTGCCCTGACCATGGGAATGGAAATGGATTTCAATATTAGCCAAAGCCAAGCCCAAATAAAAAAGGTATCTGATGTCAAAATATGGTAGAATGTTGAGAAGGCAGGATTTGGGGGAAGTCCGGTTTGATCTCCAGTGCCCAGGAAAAGCAGGCAGCACTTGCCCCTCCCTGGAAAGACTTCATCAGGCAGAGTCCTGATAGCTCCACACCTTCCACTCCTAGAGCTCAACTCTTATACCTAGGGCCAGTTACTTATTCTCCCTGAGCCTTACTTTCTCCATCTTTAAAATAGGGATTGTGGGAATTAAATGAGGTAATGTATTTGAAGCTCATAGTTCTTGCTCAATAAAAGTTGCCTCCTATTAGCATGCTATTATAGTCTTAAGAAGTTAGAAGTCCTTATGAAAAGGGTTGGTTGGTGGATTTCCTTGGGGGGCAGTATTCAGGGAGAGAAAGAAGTTTTGACTGTGGGGCAAAAGGATAATAGAAACTTCTTGAGCACCTTAAAAACATCCACATGCCCCTATAATTACATTCATTTTATAGATAAAACAGGCTCAGAGATTGAAGTGACTTTCCCAAGGTCACACAGCTTGGGAGTGGAAGACAAAGATCTAAAACCTTGTGCATGGTTCCAGAGGTTGTGTTCTTTCCACTACATGGTATGCCACTGCACTGGGCTGGGGAGGAGGGCTCTGGGAAATTAGATACTGCAGAATTCTTCCCCTCTTCCCTCTGTAGTTATTGACTGTCTACTCCTGCTAAGCCTATGGTAACTGCTGGGATCCAGTGAGTAGAGTAAGACCAGGTTTTGTGGAACTGGAAATGTATACAATTTAGGGGAATCTTTAAGAAAAAAACCTACAACATTACAAATACAAAATGAAATATGAGGTCTTAGAAGGGCCTATATAAGAAAGGACACCTGAAGTATAAGTTTTATAAGCTACAGGGTCTCTGCCTCTCAATAAAGCCCAGTCTCCCACGAAGGAAAGCCTGGGAAGCGCCAGTAGGGAGGCAACATGTGAACTGGAGCCTTGGCTTGGTGATGCTTCTGTCTTTATGAATTAAACAGCCTCTGGCTAGGGAGTCTGGGGCTGAGGGTGCCCAGCCCAGGGAGGGGGTCTGGAAGACGCTCTCAAGAAATGTTTGTTCACTTCTCTTGGATTGGTACAAAAGAGAGAGAAAACTAAGCTTCTGCCCTCAGGGATCCTCACCGGATGAAAAGGAAAGCCAGTTTCTGTCATCTCTGACGGAGATGGTATCACCCTACCTACCCACAATGATAGGTGCTCACACCCCGTGCACACCTGCACACACCCACAAATGGCCCCCAGTGCATCATGTAAGTGCCCATTACCTGAGACAAGCCTGGATAAATTTGGATCTATCAAAAGGAAAGGTAGTTTGGCGGTTCCTCAAAAAGTTAAACATGGAATTACCATATGACCCAGCAATTCCACTCCTACGTATATACCCAAAAGACTTGAAAGCAGGGACTGAAACAGATACTTGTATATCAGTGTTCATTGCAGTATTATTCACAATAGCCAAAAGGTAGAAATAATCCAAGTGTCCATCACTTGGGTTGAACGGATAAACAAAGTGTGGTATATCTGTACGATGGAATATTATTCGGCCATAAAAAGGAATGAAGTTCTGATACATGCCACAATATAGACGAACCTTGAAAACATGCTAAGTATGAAAGAAGCCAGCCACAAAAGGACAAATATGATTTCACTTATATGAAATATCTAGAATAGGTAAATTCATAGAGACGGAAAGTAGATTAGAGGTTACCAGGGGCTGAAGGAAGTGGGAAATGAGGAATGATTGTTTAATAGGTAGAGCTTCTGTTTGGGGTGATGTAAAAGTTTTGGAAATAGATAGTGGTGATGGTTGTACAACACTGGGAATATAATTAATGCTACTGAATTATACACTTAAAAATGGTTTAAATAACACATTTCATGTTATATATATTTTACCACAATTTAAAAAGAGAAAGGGATGGAAGATAGATTTGACTTTTGGAGTTCCTTTTTTTTTTGCCTACAACATGGCCTTACGACATAAAATAATAGCGAAACAAGATAAGAACCCTAGGGGGCTTCCCTTCCTTCACTGCGTCCGAGTCTTATTACCAGGAATAATCCATCCCTAGGCCCAGAAGGTGAAGTGAACTTTCAAGAGCTTGGAGTTTTGTGAATTCCTGCTTTTGATAACCTGGTCATTCTATACTGGACTGCCTTTCACCTGACTTCAAAGTTTTTGCCCAGTGACAACCAAATGGGTTTGAAATGTAGAGGGATCAGAGCTGAGGGCTTGCCCACGCTGAGGGAGAGTTCTGCTTTGAGCAGTATCAGTGGGAAGACACCTGGAGGGGTTTGTTGCAACATGTCTTGAGTAGAGGGAGAGGAGGCAGAGGGGAGAATCATGTCACCAATTTTCCTCCTGGTTTTTCTTTCATCTTGTAGTGTGATTCTGGAGAGCGACCCCCAGCAAGTGATCCAGAAAGTGAATTTTCGGGTAAGAGTCTTCCTGCACCCCCCCCCCATCACTCCCATCTCCTCCAGGCTGGGCAAACCACCCCTCCTGTCCTCCCTGTGTTGTGGGGCTGTCGGGGCCAGGATAGTGGATACCCAAGCTCCTCTACAGAACCAATCACTTGAATGATGCACTTGGTAGGCACAGGAGTTGGGGGACTTAGTTAATAAAAGACATAGTCCTATCCACTCCCTTCCCTCTGGGATCACCAGGCCCCTCACCATCTCCCTAGTGGAACTCTGACTCATGGTAACCCCATGTACATATATGTGTCAGAGTAGAACTTGGCTCCATATGGTTTTCAGTGGCTGATTGTTCTTGTTGAGAATATACACAGCAAAACATACACCAAGTCAACGGTTTCTACATGTACAATTCAATGACACTGATTAGATTCTTCAAGTTGTGCAACCATTCTCACCTTCCTTTTCTGAGTTGTTCCTCCCCCGTTAACAAACTCACTGTCCTCTAAGGTTCCTATCTAATCTTTCAAGCTGCTGTTGTCAAATTGATCTCATATAGATAGTTCTTAAAAGAGCATAATGGTCAAAGCAGGCCTTTTTTACTAGTTAAGCTAAACTGTTGTTTGGTTTTAAGAAGACTTCAGGGGATATTTTTGGCTTAGGTTTAAAGATTATCTCAGGACAATAATTTCAGGGGTTCATCTAGCTTCCATGGCTCCAGAAAGTCTTGAGTCCATGAGAATTTGAAATTCTTTTCTACATTTTCCCCGTTTTGATCAGGATTTTTCTATAGAACCTTTGATTAAAATGTTCAGTAATGGTAGCTGGGCACCATCTACTTCTTCTGATCTCAGTGGCAAAGGAGGCAGTTGTTCATGGAGGCAATTAACCACACATTCCATTTCCTCCTCCTATTCCTGTCTCTCCTTCCTCTGTTGCTCTAGGCAAATTGAGACCCATTGTAGTGCCTTGGGTGGTAGCTTGCAAGCTTTTAAGACCTCAGGCACTGTGTAACAAACTAGGAGATAGAACAGAACTAAATACATTATTAGGCCAACTAACTGGGATGTCCCATGAAACCATGACCCTAAACTTCCAAACCAAGGAACCAAATCCCATGAAGTTTTTGGTTGTACATAAGCAGTCTCAGCAGCTACTCTTTTTTGGTTATTGTCGTCATTTTTGTAAACATGTCTGTCACACAATTTTTTAGTGACTGATTTTTTGATAGTAGATCACTAGGCCTTTCTTCCAAGGTGCCTCTGAGTAGACTCGAACCTCCAGCCTTTTGGTTAGCAGTGAGTGTATTAACCATTTGTACCACTGGGGGACTCCAGTGGGAAGTACAGATACTGGGAAATAAATCCTCCAAGAGACACCAGGTGGCTGTCTCAGCCTTGAGGTTTTGGGGTGGAGTATATGGATAGGCATCACTCTGCCTGGTTTGGCTTTCTGAGGTCTGGAGGGAACCTTTCTTGCCCTCTTTATTCTTCCTCACCCCGTAACTTTCACATACCATAGAAGGGCCCTAGGGGTCCTAGCTTCCAAATGAAAGATGCAGAACTTCAACTAGATCACCCCCAACCATTGCACCACCCCACCCCACTCCACTCCCAAGGCCGCCTTCTTCACCACTCTGACCTGATACTCTCACCCTGGCCTGACCCCACCCTCATCCCACCCTCTGACTTTGTTTCTCTGCAGGCAGACGATGGCGGCTTGACTGAACAGAGCGTGGCCCAGGTAGGCCCCCTGCATCTGCCCTGGCCAGAAATAGGCTAGAGGCCAAGGAGAACAGAGCATCCCAGGGGGGCCTAGGGAGGCGATCAAGGCTGAGAAATCAGGGTACCAGAAGAAAGCGTGGAGGCAGTGACAGGCCATCTCTCGGAGAGAGTTGATGGAGGTTTCCAGGGTCTCTAAGGTGGTGGGGAGTTGGGTATTCACATATGGATGGACGTGTCACCAGCAGCCCACCTCATCTCCTTGCTTGATTTAGTTGGGTTGAACCCCAGGATAATCTGAACCCTGGAGGTAGCTGGGTCATTTGTCCCCAAAGTCGATCTGGAGACTCAGGCCCCTGATGGCTACCCCCAACCTGGAAAGGATACCAAAATATGAGTTTGCCTCCAAACCCTTACCCCTCACCACTTAGGGTCCACCCAGGGATTGTCAAAGAACTCTTAAACTCATGATAGATCTAACTTTCCCCACTTCCTGCTTACCACCTTGCCCCTGAGTGACCTGGATGTGGAAAAGTCCACCCGCACCATACCCTCTGCATGGGCCTACCTGGGGGTGCAGGGGGGCGGGAGGGGGAGATTGCCTGTATCTGTGGCCTGATGGGTCTCCCAGCTGTGCAGACGTCCTGCTTGTCAGGCTGACTGTCTTGACCTCCATTCTGTCTGTCTGCAGGTCTTTCTGCCCAGACTAATCCTGCTTTTATGGAGCTTCCTGCCCTGGCACTAACTACCTCTGCTGTGTGGCCCAGGCCGAGATGGGTCTGTGCCATCTCGTGTGGAGCCCTAGGTGTGGTGTCTACTTCCCTGTCACTGCCCTTGGTGCTCACCCTGACTTTCCCTGCTCCTGATTCTCCGTGCTTCCTCAGACCCTGCTGAAATCAGCCACATGGGGATTTTCAGGGCGGAAATAAGGAGCTGATGAATAGGGCAGATAAGAACACAGGCTCTGGTGTAAGTCATTTCAGGATATATATTCTACCTTACAATCTCTGAGCTGTGTGACCTAGGGCAAGTTACTTGGCCTCTCTGGGCTTCACATATGAACAGGACCCTCCTCATAAGAGTTGTTAGGAGAATTAGATGAACTAAGGCATGGAAAGCACTTAGCACGGCAAATTATACATGCTCAGTAAATGTTAACCATTATTATTTTCCAAAGAAGGAAAGAATGAAGGCAGCATTCGTGTGGGTAGAATTCTTGGATAAAAGCTAAGAAACTGCAGGAAACGAATGAAAGATAAAAGAAAGTTAGATTGCAGCTGGGTTCTGGAAGGCTGTGTAGGAGGAAGGGACATCACAGGGTGGGATAGACCCTCTCTGGAAGGGAATGAGGCTTAATGGCCACAAGGATCATCTTTGGGACTGGTGTACACATACCTGGGGCCCCAGCTGTGTTGGCATTGTGTGCACACAGGGTTATGGATTTGTGCAAAAAACTGAACTGAGACTTCTCAGCAGGGTGAGAGAGTGCACATACGTGGGTACAGATGTCCCGGGGCAGGGCTGGCCAGCCACCCTTTGCCAACTGTGCCACATCAGCAGCGGGTGGAGGTGGGGTGCCAGCCAAGGCCAGATCTAGGGGTTTGCGGAAGCTTCTGAGCATAGGAAGTACCTGGCCTGGGCCCAGTCTCTGCCTGGCATTGTGGGTGGGGGCTTGCATGGCATGGCATGGGGGAGACGGGAGCCACTACCATACCCACAGGGTGCAGATGCAGGAACTGGGTGGCTGGGCAGGCTCTGGCCTGGGGTGGGAGCTGGCTGCAGCCAGTTTGGGCTGCCGTCTCCACCTAAGCCAGGCAGAGATGGGCTGCTGCCACCTAGTGAACAGGAATTGCAGGGACTCTTAGGGAAGATGAGCTGTAGACCTTCCACTCTGTGCAGAGTTGTGGAAGAAAGTTACCTGACATTCCCCATCCCCCACCCCCCAAATCTCTCTCTCAACCTTTCCCCCCATCCCTCAGGTTCTTCAGTCTGCCAAGGAACAAATTAGATGGTCATTACTGAAATGATGGCTGTGGATTTAAGGCTCCCCGCCCCCGGAACATTTCCCCTATCCTGGAAAAAGCCCAAAGACCCCAGAGGACAGGAGAAAATCCTTTGTGTCCCCAGACTCTGCCTGGAACTGACTCCTGAGATCCCTGCTAGGGACTCTGAAATGCAAAGGTTTGGCCCCAGCACTGAGTCATCCCTTCTCACGCCCTGGCCTGCCCACTGGGGCATGGGAACCAGCTGAGCTGCTTTAACTCAGACCTTAGGCATCCCTGGCAGCCAGCCCTAATAAACCTGCTTTTGTCTCCTGGCCTGGAGAGTGTGTGTGTCTGTTCCATATCCAAGCTCATGCACTTCTGTGGCTCATCTTCAGGGATTCCCAGTACCGGGGTGTTATCCCTGTGGTTGTGGAGGGTAATGGGTCAAGGGAAAGTGGACTGTGTAACATAGGAGTGTAACACAGATACCACGTTGCTCCGTGTGTCGTGGGGTGGGCTGTGTAGGATTTTGTGGCACGGTAAAAGAGTAATACTGGGAAGAGCAGTGCATACTTCCTGGAAAGGGAGAGCAATAGATGGGGGTGCCCGATTTTGTGTGTGCAGTACACAGTTGGTGATCCTGCTGGGGATTTCTTGAGCCACTTTTTCCATTCCCAGTCTCCGGAGGGGAAGGGAGTAAAGGCTTCCTCCGGCCAAACTGAGAAACACCATGACTGTTTTTCTTGGCATGCCTGAGACCACGGAATTCCTATACTGGCACACGCCCTGGGCACTCGGGCCCTACAAGCTTGCGTTGGCTCAGCCCAGGTGCTGCGGGAGGAGGGGGGGAAGCATCGGTCAGCCCCCACTATGCATGTGTCCAGCACACCCACTGCGCTCCATTGAGTGTGAAGGATTGCAGGTCGGGAGGGAAAGAAGGGCATCCCAAGGGCAAGACGGGAAGGATGGAGATGCATTTCTGTGGGACGCGAGACCTCTTCTCCCTCTGCCCCAGAACCTCCTGTTTCTCACTTTCTTTCCCTGATGTGTACACTTTCTGCGTCTATGTACGACCATCCCCTAGCGTACCTAACATTCCGTCCCTGCACCGCTCTCTTCCCACTATCTCTTGGTGACTGCTGGGGCCAGTTCATGTCCCGCCCTGGCCCCGCCCTTCGCAGGCGTCGAGCGCAACAGGGAACCCCGCCCCTGGACAGCATCCGCGATCCTGTAGCGCCTCCTGGAGGGAACGGTGGGAAACGCGCTCCCTCCGGGTCCCACTCGCCTGATTAGCTCCGCCCCCAGGGCGGGACAGACCACTGCTCTTCTACGTAGCTCGCTGGTCTCCGACTCGGGCGACAGTGCGTTGCCCTAGCAACCAGCCCAGGTGACTGCCCTGCAAGTCCTGCGCCAGCTTGGGCGCACGAATTTCCGATAGCCACTACAAATAAGAAAGCGGCGAGCCCCGCGTGTTAATAGAGGCTGTCCCTGTGGGTAATCACGTCCTACATTATAAAACCCTCTAAGGATTGAATATTTATATAGGGCATGACTACTTTGGTAATGAGAGAAAAATGATGAAAGTATAGTTATGTAAACATATACACTGTAAACATTGTGTGTACAACCCATTCCAGTAAACAGTGCAAAAAGATATTCCAAAGGGGGGGGGAATGGTATGCAATTAAATACCAAAGAGTGCAGGGACCTGCGTGGTGACGGGAAATGAGAAATTCTCCAGAAATACTTCGGCAAATATACGACCACAGCCGGTGCCCGGCTCCAGCCACCGTCCCTAAGCAACCCCAAGGACGGTAGGGGCAAAATCCCTTCCTAGCAACCCAATCACACCCGCCAAGGCCCGACAATTCCAGCTGTGCTGGGACCAGAGTGGGGAGAGACAGGCACGAGCCTGGTGCTTCACACGTACTGGGGTAGGGCTCACTCAGTCCTGTGAGTTACGCGATACTATCCCCATTTTACGGAAGGGAACACCAAGCCTCTGAAAGGTTAAGTGTTTGCGGCAGTTTTCACAGAACCCGGCTCCGGAGGGGGAGCTGCTGGGGGTGAGGTGACTTTCCAGACTCCCCCCCACCCCGCCCTAGGATCCGACACCCTCGCCCACACAGGATCTGTACTGGGTTAAGAGGAGTGAGCTGAGGAGGCATGGTAATGGCAGAGGCAACCAAAGTTTCCTCGCCCTCTGTGGCTAAAGGACTATGGGGGGGGGGGTCTGCAAAGGAGCAGACTCCACACTCGTGACGGGAAGACCGCGAGCCCGGAGGGCAGCGCAGTGTGGCAGGAGGACCCGAGGAGGGCTGGCGGGGAGGGGGCGCTGCTCCTCCCCGAGGCGCCCGAGTTTGCAGGCCGGCCTTCTGGGGGCCGCTGCGGAGACCTCGCTGGGGCAGGAGGGACGGCCAGCCACTGCCCTGCGGCCCCCTCTCGGCGCCCGCAGCCCGGCGAAGCCGCCAGGACGGCGGGCCTGGCCGTCGGCCCAGAGCTCTCCCCGCTGGCACCGGCTCTCCCCAGACGGCTTATTAGCGGCTACCACGGACCCAAGCCAGCGGGCAGGGAGGACCCGGAGGGCAGGGGCGCCATCTGCGAAGCCCGGGTTTCCGGAAGGGCGGTCGGCGGTTCCTGGCGGGAGCGGCCGCGGTCTGCCTTCCCTCTCCTCTCATCCCCACGGCCCCACCCCGTCACTCTGCATCCTCCCTCCTCCCCATCGTGGGCGACCCAGAGGGTCCCGAGTGTGTGTGAGGAAGGAGGAATTGGCATCGGGGTATGTCAGAAACCCAGACCCCAGGAGCCTGGGCACAGCCTCAGGGCGCGCACAGAAACACTGACCCCAGGGCTCTAGTGCGGGAGGGGACCTTAGCCACACCCAGATCCAGTTGAGGGCACAGAGGATGCGCAGCCGGGCCCTCGGGCCCCCTTTATACCACCTAGAACCAGTCGCCCCCTCTCGGGCTCTCCGCGCCCCCTGCTTTCCCGCCATTGGCTGGCAGGAAGGCAGGGCTTATTGGGTTGGCTTGCATCCAGACAGTGATGGATGGCTCCCCGCGGACTGGACAGCGGCCAGGCGGATGTCACTGCTGGGCTGCGCGGATTGGCGGAGGCGGGGCCAGCCCGGCCGAGGGTGTAGGGGTGGGACGCCCGGGGTGGGAGGGGTGACTGGGGACCCGCCTGAGGCTCAAACTTTCTGTGCCCTCAACACCCTTTTGAAACTGTACTATACTTTTAGGGAGAAAGAAAAACCTTACCTCTAAAGTCCCAGTAGCTACCCATTAACTCCGGAACCTGAGGTAGGCAAATAATTTACCCAAAGCAGGTTGGGCACAACCCTACAGGCCACCTTTCCCCCCAACCTGGCTCTCATCCTTTCAACAATATTCATCCATTCATTCAAATATTTGAGTGTTTACCACGAACCAGAAGAAAGGGAGGGACACTGATTAGAAGCGATTGGGGCCACAGGACAGTGGGGTGAAGATGGGGATTGAAAGGAGGGAAGGGATTTGAGAGAGATTTCAAGGTAGAAATACCTTTAAATCTCAGATGATGTTGCTTGATCTGAGTAGTAGTAAAAATTCACAGCACTTACGTTTAAGATCGGTGCTCTTCGCTCTAGGTGAGTCATACTTCAATAAAAAAAGAAAAAAATTAATCAAATAGCTGCCAAATTATATTCTATCAGCTTTTGTATGGTCCTCATCTGTTCCCTATTCATCTCTACCAAATAAAAATGGAAACTATCTCAATGAAATGACAGTGGTTGTGAAACAAATGTAGAATGTATACTGTACAGGTAGATGAGTGCCATCCCTTAAAATGGTCTCCTTGGAAAGAAAAGTAGTATTGTAAAATAATAATAATAATAGTAAATTGAAATTCTTTTTTGGAATGAATTCTTCCAACAGACATTTACTAAGTGGCTGTTCTGAGCCAGGCACCTTGCTGGGTCTTGGTGGGAGCTTCTAAGATGAATTGGAAGACACAGTTCCTGACTCAAGGAGATGACAACTTGGCTGGGAACAAAGTTGTGTATGCAGATGATGAAATTATCAACATTCATAGACTAGGCTCACAGAGGAGATGGTGTATTACATAGTATTTGACAGAAAGAAGATGGGGAAAGAGACACTAAAAGGGAGCAACAATATAATAATGTACAGAAGCCCCATCTTGTTTAAGGAATTAAACAAGTAGGCAAATGTCACTCAAATGGAGGACTGACGTCGGGGGCATGGCTGGAAGGCTGGGGTGTACTGAGACATAAAACTTCTCCCTAGACAGGTCACAACTGGATCACAGAGGGCATGAAATGCTATGCTAAAAAATAACTACCATTTACTGAGTTTCCTACTCTGTACACTTTAGAAATACTATTGTCCTCAAAACAACCTAAGGAAGTAGATGTTGTTAGCCCTATTTTACAAATGAAGAAACTGAGGGCCTAAGAGCTTAAATAATTTGTCTTGGGCATAGAGGTGAGATTTTAAACCCATTTCCGACTTACTCCATTACCCAGTGCTCTTCTTGCCAAACACAGCTAAAGAGCTTGGCTTGTATTCTGAAGTTAACAGGGAGCCATTGAAGATTTTCGTGTGGTTAAGTGATATCAAGTCTGTGCTTTGAGAGCAAAACTCTGCCAGCAACATGGAATATGAATTAAAGAAGGGATAGGGTCATTTTATGATCCACAGAAGGAAATCATTTTCATTACACTCACTTCTCATTCTTTATCTAAAACAGTGCCACCCAGCTTGATCTCATTCACCAGTTTGCAAAAATCAAGTCCATTCTCAGAACTTTTGAATTAATTCAGATAATTACAGGCAACCATACCAAAAGAAGACTTCTAACTGTCTTCATTTGGACATTTAGATTCTGAAAAATATGTTAAATAATAATAAATCCACTTTCTATCTTATGTATTTGGTGTCCTCTTATCATCCCTACCCCCTCCTTCTCTGAAAATACACACACACACACCCCCAAGACCAAATTAAAGGAAGTGACATAAGAGATCTGATTCTTTTGAACAGACCTACTATTCCTCTTTATCCAGATACTTGATTTTTAAGGCTTTGAAGATAATGTATCTCATTCTCATGGCTGCCAATGAACTCTGAACTAGAAAAACTTAAGGACAGAAGAAAACTCTGAAAGTCA